TTTCTAGTTGTTCCTGAAACATATTTTTAGCTATGCTATCACTAAGTAGAACCCTAAGAGGTTTTCATGTGGTGTCTTTCCTGCGTCCAGTAAGTCGCAAACAAATACGCGCTCGCACTAAAGCATGATCTGAATCTGATGCTTTACCTACACCAGCGAGGCCATGGGAAGCAGCAGTGGGCTTTTTTCAGATACACGGAGCGTAAATTAGAACTGTTCTTTATTTGGAAAAGGTGAAGTTAAGTTAATTACTCTACTCTCATTTTGTACGCGCGTTTCGCAGCGTTCATCGATGTGTAAGATACATTTTGTTAGAAAATAAGCCAACAAGACACACTTAGTTGTTTATTTTGAAATTAGTCGAATATTTGTATGCTCAGTGTCATTGATCAGTTTAAAACTGAAGTGTGTGCAGGAATTATATAATGTAACTGTATTTCATTGCAATTAATCTTACCGTCTTATTTCCTTGTGACTCGCCTGTATTGAATAAAACATTGATCATTCACAGATGGCATGTCTTTATTCTCTCTTATACCGTTAATCTGAGTTAAACCACAGGCCATGTGACAGTACTCTTAATTCATAACACTACCTCAATATGTTTGAAGAATGTTCAGAAATTACTTCTGAATTATCTCCGGAAGTATCTTGAATTTAAAGTCCTCATTACCTTTATGAGCTAAACCAGGATGCTGTGAAAAACCAGTAAACATTTACCTTACGGTGCCAAATTGTAAACCGTTCGCAACTGCTTTTTCATGACCTATTGCTTTTGACAATTAATACCCTGCATGTTTCTGTTATGGATCTGAAATAATGAGTTGCTCTTTCAGAGAAAAATGCAGCATAAAATATTTGCACGTTGTCGTAATAACTGCTCTTATGGTTGTTTTTTTGCAGTTGGATTGGTCAATTACTGATGCTACAAGACTTTACACATATCAACAACCTTATACATTTCGAATATACGGTTGTGAAGAACTATATTCGGTGAGTAAACGGTTTTTGTCTGTAGCTATCCAAAACTAAATTTTCAAGCAGTTATATATACATATACATACATATCCGAGTTCCTCCCGAAGTCACTAAGCCAGTGTCCATTCTGGCAACCAGAGACCTTCCACGGTGTGAGCAACCGGGATAAGAGACACGGACAGACAGACAGATACAATGCAGTTCAGGTTGCCATGCACCATCAGCACGGAGACGCAGCTGTCAGTCCAAATCCGACAGTGATAGCAATAATAAAAGTATTAGCAGTAATGGAGATTAGGGAGTGAAGATATGATTCGAGAAGTATAATTCAGTAAGATAAATTCCGAAGGAGAAAGGTAGAGATTATGAGGAATGCAGAAGCTTAGAATTTCATAGAACACAAAGAGTGGATGCACCTGCGCCATTGCGAACGATTCTGAGCCATGTCGTTCAACGTCTCTAAACATTGGTGACTTTCTTCTCACGGACCGCAACCAGGTAGCCTACATCTACCAACATGACTCAGTCCAATTTTCAGTGACTTCATGGATTTGTGTCATGTTTTGGTCTGACCGCCCCTAGCTTTCTTCCAACCTACTCCTACACCACAAAACAGTTATTGTGAATTATACGTCTAATTAGGGAAATTAAACGTTGATAAAATAGTTCGGAATCCTACTCATTTGTGCAGACACATCCACTTTTTATTATTGCATTAATCCTTCCTCTACTACTATGCGATTCGAACTGACAATTCCATCTCTTCGACACCTGAACTAGTGATAGTAAGTGAAGTAATTGAGCGTGTCGACCGCTCCACTTATCTGAGGAGTCTCATCAGTGCTGATAGCTTAGTGTCTGACGAAATCTGAGCGCGGATACGGAAGACTCGACTGGTACTTGTGAACTTATGTCACTTACGGCGTGGGCGGGATGATTGAATTCGTCTGTGTACTAACGAGGTATGGCAGCGTTAACTGATATGTGTACGTACGAAGTTTAACATTGTAACTGTCTTTCTGAGTTTTGCATAGTCCGGTGACCAGCGCCATTCAACCCGCTCTTTCATCGGCTTTCTTTCTAGTTCTTTCCATTTTCTGTTCGCTACTTCCAATTGTCGGCGTAATTTATTTAATCTTTTTTGTTCCTTCATCTTGAGGATTGTCTTGTGACGCAGTTCGATTTATTCCTGAATGTATGTTCAACCTATCTCCAGCGCTTCTTCCCGACTTCTTATTCTGCTGGAGTCCGGTTTGTTCTCTCCAACAGAAAGTTGTTGCTGTTGTCTCGGCATCGGATCCTCAGTATCTTGTGCGCACAACTGTTAATAAACACTGGAATTTTTCTGGATGATGGATTTGGTAGTTCTCCAATTTCCCGCCTCACACAGTAGAACTTTCTTGACATTTGTATTAAAAATTCTGACTTACGTGTTAGTTGATGTTTGTTTCCAGTTCAAGTTGTTGTTCAATTGTAGAAATGCTGCCCTTGCTCTGCCAATCAGCGCCTTCACATCTGCATCAGATCCAATCTGCCCATCATTTATGCTGCACAGCTATGCACGGGGTTTCACATCCTCCAAAGCTTTCACATCAAATGTGATTTGGTTGGTCCATGTTGTGTTGTGTCAGAGTACCGTGCTTATCGCCTTGTGTATGTTGAAACCTACAACTGTGGAGGTTACTGCTACACTGGTCGTCTTCTCCTGAATTTGTTGTTGCGTGTATGATAAAAAAGCTAGATCATCTTCGAAGTCCAGCTGTATTCAAGCTGTCCACTGTATTCTATGTTTCCTTTGAGATGTTGACATCTTAATAATCCAGCCGATCATCAGGAGAAAAAAAGTCGAAATTGAGTAACCTTGCCTGATATCCGTTTGCTAATTGTCTGCAATGAGTCTGTGAGCTGTCCTTTGTGTATGGTTGTGCAGTTTAATTGATCTTAAGAATTGCGTATAATTGCGAAAATCTTCTCAGGCGTGCAATAGTTTCGAAGATGGTTCCATGACGCCCTCCTGTCCACACTATCAAACGTTTCCTCGTAGTAAACAAAATTGATGTACAGTGGTGAATCCTACTCGTTGATTTTCCTGCAATAATCCGTAATGTTACAATTTAGCCGCTACACAATCGATCCTTACGGAATTCAGTCCACTGATTTCAAAGGTGGGCGTCTACTGAATCTTTCATTCAACACTCTTTCGAACAATTTTCCTGGTTTTAATTGCAGAGTGATGCCCCTGTAGTTCTCACACTTGCTGAAATCGCCTTTCTCTGGTATTTTGATAAGGTCTTATTTTTTCAGGTTTCTTGATACTTGTTCTTCATCCCAAATCTTGTTGAAGAGATTGTGGAATATTTTTGCAATTACTGCTTTCAATACCGCAGTTGGTATGTTGTCTGGTCCTGCTGCTTTACCTCTTGATTTTTTGGATAGCTATACTGACCTCTTCGATTTCTGGCGGCTCAGCACCAATTGTGAGGTTTATAGGTGCTACTCTGAAGCTGGGTAGGTTCAGTGGGGCTGTTTGATTCAAGAGTTCTTCGAAGTCCTTTACCCACCTGTTTCGCTGTTCTTCAATATCTGTGATTGGTTTACCTCTCTTGCTTTACACGGTTCGTTCGGGTTCACTATATTTTCAAGCAAGTCTCTTCGTTGTATGGTATAACTGTTCTACGTTTCCACCTCTTTCTGCTTTTTCTGTTGTGGTGGCTAGATCTTCATATTTACGTTTGACAGCCTTGACGCTCCTCTTCACTTGTTTGTTTGCTTCTGTGTATTCTGCCAGTGTCTTGACTTTCTCTGCTCGCGTTCAGATGTTATTGATTGCTGTCTTGCTAACCTTCCTTTCTTCAATCTTTTCAAAACTATCAACTGACACTCCTTGTGAAGGCGCTTCTTGTAGCCCGAAGACTCATAATATTTTGAAGTTATGGTTTCTGTGATCAATTTTCAGTTGTTTTCCATGATGGTTTTCTCTTTATTGAATAGAGCATGAAAGGCTTAGAATCTTTTACTGAATGCTATCTTTAATTCGTTGAGTTTGTCAGTATCCCGAAGGAAGGCCGTATTGAACTTTAGTAATGCACGCACCATTTCCCAGCACTTCTTGAGTTTGCTTCATCTTGGCGATCAGCGAATGGTGATGTAAGGCTTTATCAGCTCCTCTCTTGGTTCTCACGTCTTCCATCGTCCTAAACTTTGATGCAGATGTGGTTTTGTGTAGTGTGATCCGGTAAAATCCATATAGCTTTGTTTATGTGTTTGTATGGGAATATGGTCCCAGCTCTGACCAGTTTGCTGATGGCATATAGGTTTGCCGATTTCTCAACGTTTTCGCCCTTTTCTTCTTGTCCATGCCGTGGCCTGATGCGTTTATATCCAGTTAAAGACTTAGTTAAAAAGCTTTGTCAAAGATTGGAATGGAGAGCTCGATGTTCATCGGAATGGACGCTACTGGCCTCAGTACATGTAGGTGAAGCATTATATAGTCACTAATGAATCACGTCAGAATTTTATGCAGTGAAAACCAATCTTCATTAGATATGTGTATTGCTAATATTCATTCTGAATATTTGCTGACATATGTAAATATGTTTGTCTTATAATATTATCTTTGATCATTTATCAAAACAAAGCGTGACATGTTCAGTATAATTACTATACCAACAGGGAAGTACTGTTAGGCGACATCGACAAATTTTAGCGGATCAAAGTTCATATCATTCATAATGTAATATTTTCTGATAACATATACATACGAATATGATGACCCCTTCTTACTTTTAGCAGAACAAAGTCTGAAGGGCCAATGTGAAGAATGATTCGGTGTTCCGTCTCATCTGTGCTGTCGTTTATTGATTATTTTTGCAACGGGTTTTTTTCTAATAAATGATTATTGACTAGCACTTCTTGTTTTTCGTATATTGTGTGTGATGTCCACTAGTCTAATGATGTAGTTTCGCATAAGTTGTGTTTTGTTTTTCAGACCGTCAAAACTACGCATTAAAAGTGAAAAGAACTCACCGTGACAAAAAATATATTTACAAGTACTAAAATTCGAAATTTAGAATCAATAAATAGGTTTTTATGTGTATGTTTATGGATGTTCTAATTCTTCGGGACGTACCGGCCTCGTTAACGGTATAACGGATCGTTTAAGCACATCCGCTGAGAGTGCTTTTCGCATATCTATAAAAATTAAGTAGATAACTTAGAATATTGTTTTTGAACTACATAAAATATAAATTTTATACCAAATATTTATTTTGCATTGTTTTCCAAAGTAGGAAATAAAGAAAACCAATTAATTGGAAGTGGCAGTTGCACCTCCTACAGGATGGAAGTAACTAAATGAATATATGTACATGGTATCAACTCCCTCAAGCTTTGATGAATCTTCACGGACATCAATTTCTGCAATTATATACAGTTGTATGTTTAATGAAAATCTAAGCCTGAAAACTTAACATACAGGAGTGGGATAGATAACCTAACAATCTCCATTATACTCGGTCTCAAATAAAATGCGAAATATTATATTTCAAATTATTTTTTTGAATGATATTGGGCTTGTTAAGAAATCTTCCAAACCCTAGTTTCGATTCTGTGTAGGATGGTTGTCCGTTAAAACATGGATTATTTAATCAACCAAACTAACATTGAAAAGGCCCTTAAGATGTATTAGGTGCGGATATGTAAACGTTTAGTATGTTCCTGAATATTTCTACATCAAGAGTATAATCCACAAAACATCAGCATAAAAAAATGCAAGAATTTTATTAGTATTAGTGGTGATATGAAATATCGGGTGTGAATGATGTTATCCGAGGAAACATGGATTCCTGGAATATTAAACGTGGCTAATTGTCTGCAATGAGCCTGTGAGCTGTCCTTTGTGTACTGTTGTGCAGTTTAATTGATCTTAAGAATTGCGACATCGACGAGTCCTTCGAGGCATTTCCGTCAAGAGTGATTTGATTGACGTATATTGTGTTGTATCGTGGAATCTTGCTTTTAGCAATATGTATGCTGAAACCTGTTGCTGCCACACTAGCCGTCTTCTCTTGCATTTGTTTTTGCGTGTGCGATAGAAGAGCCAAATCACCTGCGGAGTCCAGATCGTCCAGCTGCATCCTGGCTGCCTACTGAATACCATGCTTCGCTACAGATGATGACGTCTTCATAATCCAGTCGATCGCCAGGAGAAAGAGAAAGGGTGAGAGTAAGCAACTTTGGCTGACACCGGTCTTCACCTCGAACGAGTCTGTCAGCTGGCTCCATGCACGATTTTGCAGTTTAATCCATCGCGAGAATCCTGTTTGATGCCGACTATATTCTCAGGTGCGTCGTAGTGTCGAAGAAAACTCCATAGTTTTGTCCTATTCACCTTATCAAATACGTTCTCGTAGTCTAGGGAGTATTTTGATCAGGTATCCTACTTTCCAGTCAGTTGGTACTTGTTCCTCATCCCAAATCTTACTGAAGAGAATGTGGGGTACTTTTTCAGTTGCTTCCACGTTTGCATTCATTGCCTCTGCTGGAATCTTGTCTGGTCCTGCTGTTGATTTGTCTGATGGCCATGCTGATCTCTTCAATTGTTGGTAAGCCAACATCGTCGATGTTGGATGAGTTCAGTATAGTTGTTCGATTGAAGAGCTCCTTAAATTGCTCCATCCACCTGTTTTGCTGTTCTTCAGTGTTGCTGATTACTTTGCCTTCGCTTTCACTAATCATTCTTGTTTACGATAGTTTCCAGCGAGCTTCTTTGTTGTATCGTGGAATTGTCTCATGTTTCCTTCTCTTGCAGCCTTTTCTGCCGTCACTGCTAGATCCCCACATATTTGTCGGCTCAGATGCTCTTCCTTTCTGCAGCGAACTGAGATAGGTTTCTGCTCTCCCACAATGTTCGGACACTTAATGTACCTAAAAGAATGATTTTCCTGGTTGTGAGAACGGGTATCGGCCTCGTGACTTCCGAGGGAACTCGGCTTCCATTATGAGACATCATAACTCTTCTGAAAGACCTAACTGCCAGTGCAGAGTTTATATGGTTTGAATTATGTTTTCTGGTTAGCGTTTTTTAGCAAGTTAGTTTCCAACGGGATGGAGTCGCCAAACCCATGCGACCGACAGTAGCTCCACAGTGACTCCAGGTGGAGTTTACCCAATTAATACAGTGAAATGAAATAGTTGGGGCTGTTTCGAGACTAGTAGAGGTAGTAACGTAAAAGATTACGGATACAAGGAAATATAAATCAGTAAGATTTTAAGGCATCTGAGGAATTGAGATTAGAATTTAAAAGAAGATAAAGAGTGGATGCACTTGCGCCTGTGCAGACGATTCTAGTTGCCATTTAAAGTTTCCAACCACTGCTTACGATTGTCATGCGTGAACGTTCTGTCTATACGTCAACGATCAGGTCATAAACCAGCCAGTTTTATGGAGTTCGCTTCTTACAAGACCCAGTTAAGCGTGGGGATAATATTGAAATTAATATTTCGGGTACAATAACAGTGAAACTAACTTCTCTGTGATTGTTGTAAGAGGACATTTTCCTTTTCTCATAGACCAGGACAATCAGTGATGGAGACCAGTTGATTGGGATGTCCAGTTCCAGGATTTTAGCTAAGATCTAACAACTGAAACTGGACCACCATCCTTGAAATTTTCCGAGAATAACCCAGCAAGACTTGCTGTTCTCCCTGCTTAGATTTCTTATGACTTTTTCGACCTCATTAAGAGTAGGAGTACTTATATCAACATGCCATTCAAGTTTACGGGAAATCTCCGGTAACCGAAATGTGACTGAATGCCAGTTTAACTGCTCCCTGAAATGTTCTCATCGATCCAATCTCCTGGAACTCGTGTTTTTTTAGAAAGTTTCGCTGGTAGTCAGACCCCTAATATTATTCCCTTGATAAGTCTGTCTTGCTTTCGCTATCCACCACTGAATAAAATCACTGCATAGGCTTACTGTTAGCCTATGCTTAAGCTACCTCCGTTCCTCATCATGTCCAGATTCAAACTGGATAAGCGTCTATCAATTCTGTAAATGCTACAGGAATCCACTGCTTCTTCCTAACCTTATTGTTTACCTTGCTAGCAGATATCAATTCTGTTTCCACAACTTTTTGGATGTTATTCCCAACTGCATCGCGACTGACATCACGTACATAGCTGACTAACTTCTTCTAGTTGTTCCTGGAATGTACTCTTGGCTTTTTTATCGTTAGGCGGAACTCTAAGAGGTGTCCTTGCTGTGTTGTTTCTGCGTCCAGCAAGCCGCAGACAAATACGCGCTCGTAGTAGAGCATCATCTGAATCTTAACATATGCTCCAAAACGAGCTGTGATCTTCTATCGAGTCTCTTCATCGGTGGCTGATAGATATTTGGCCTACATGGGTCAGGCGTTGGGTTGATTTTGGGGGTTGTCATGTCAAACGATGTTTCCTTTTGTGTTTAAAGTTGGTATTTGCTAGAAGTAGGCGGTTATCGGAGCATAGATGCAGCAGATGGTCGTGTCCGATTTGCCACAAGGTTCAAACATTAAAGCTCCAACACATAGTTTAGAGCAGGGTTTCAGGACACCAGGAACAACATCTCATGTACTCGAATCGTTATCATTAGTGGCATGATGTGTTAAGTTATATAAGAAGGTTTAGTCGTGGATACAAAGGATCTTTTAGGAATTGTATGACGGATTCGGTTGTAAACAAGTTGGTCTCGTGATGCATTGATAGGAAACAATATGTTGCTATCTTGAGCTAAGTAACTAATCACCCAACTCATTGTATACCTTGTATATCAACTTTATGAAGGAGCCTAATAATTTGACAACACTTACCGAAAGCATCTTCATCTTCAATAGAACCCCAGTAATAATTTAAGACTCTGCGATATATAATATAGCCCAGTTTAGTATAAATATCTATTCCCAGCTTGTTAGATGCACGCACAAATAGATCAACATAGTAACACCGTTTCCTGGAAAAAAGGGTTGGCAGATTTAATTCATCAGAAATGTAAAACCTATGGGAATCAGCTTTATGGTAAATTTACTTGCATTAGTACTAACATCCGACGTTGAAATAGTTCTTCAGCATTATTTCACTAAATTTATCTTCTCATATTCAATTAAATCTATCCCTAATTATTAATGCTATTGGATTTCAACGATTTCTTCTCGTTGGTTACTTTTCAACTAAATAATTTGATTTAATCATCATCAATTAGCCTTCATGTTATTGATTTACTGTGTAATAAATGAAAATGTGAGTTGAAGTTTTTGAATATTGTCTATATTTCATAATATTAAATTATAACGACAAGTTTGAGTTGCCGCTAATCGAATGGAGGTATATCAGATACAGAGAGGGGTTGAACTTTTAGTCTGGAAACAAACAATACTATATGATATCGAACCAGAAAGTCCCGAAAACGTAAAAAAAATTTACAAACTCGCAGATATGAAGTTGGATTTTCAACGAACTTGAAAAAGGCTACTTGCAAGACTATATATATATATCTCACAGACTTGAAAAGAGATCATTTTTTTCAAAATGAAAGCTAGACTATACGAAAATAAGAGAACTCACTAGGAGGGCATACACACCATAAATAAAGATTTTTATTGACCATCTGTAATTGGACAAACCAAGTTAACAGGCTACATTTTGAGTTCAAAATTCATGAGATAGATTTTTAGATGGTCCTAATAATGGGACTTTCTTTAATATAGCTATTAAATATAAAACCATTTTGTTTTAAATGTCCATTCTCTGTACACTTAGATTTTGAATTCCTTTAATTATAATACTCAATCATTGTAGAATAATATTACACTATGTGATATAGCATTTAGAATGACTGAATTCAATCATTGTAACCATTGGAATGAATAGCTCAATACCAGATTTTTCTAATATTGAGCACATAGTTTTCTGGTGAATAAACGCAGACATGATACTTCTGTTTAAGGTTTAACTCGGCTCACCACTGCGCACCTACAAAACACAAAAGTCTTAGTATACTGATTAGTAGACAATTATGCTACGTAAGCACAGTATTGGAGACAGCTCATACGAAGAAATCTGTTTTCTCAATAAAACAGCAGATTAATAATGGCGTCCACTATACAACTATGTTAATCCTTCTTACGCCCGTAAGATTTAGTAATATGTAGTTTGTTTTGGAAACAAGAATTCTAACCACGCAAGTTTTCCCAGAAATATTTAAAACCATGCCAATTTTAAAATTAAATTTTGTAGACATTCTTACCGTTCAGATGTTTCTTCTAATTCTAGCATTAGCTGAGTAGCTAATCTCAAACGACGATATTCAGGGGCCACTGACAATGCAGTAACATGACCATGCCAATCCACTCCACGACCTTCTGACTTTGCCATCATGTAACCCATTAGTCGTTGACACGTAGATGGTACTGATACTACTTTGGGAGGTGGGTTCTGTGAACCGCCTGTGTGTGGAGTATCCGAGAGACTTTTTGGATTCCTTTCGAAACAGGTTAATGTGGGTGATTCTAGGACTCGCATGTACTCAGGCCATCTTGCCAAATAATGCAGATAGAAGCCGATACTATACTGTTATTCCCATTAGCAACACAACGAAGTTAAAGAAAGTACAATTACATAATGGTCTGTAACTTAACACTATTTTTTAATAGCTAGTGGCCATTTAGCAACTCGTCAACTCAAATTTAGGTAAGTATTTCATGCTATTCGAAGTAAAAACAATGGAGATATAAACAAAAAACATATTAATCAACAAAAAAGAACAACACTGTTTGCAGGAGCCGATATATCGAATGTATTTCATTGGGTTTTTTTTAACCATATCTAAGCTAATAATTCAAGCTAGTTTGAAATTATGGCTTAATTAGAAACTAACAAATGAACTGCCCATTAGAGAAGAGTAAGTTTTTTGGAAGGTAAATTTATATGTAGTTTAAATTTAGGTATAGTGCAGTCTTTATAAGTAATTTTAGTAATAGTTATGATAAGGAATACCTGTAAATAATGATGTCACAATTTAAATATGTGTATATAATGCAAGTAAATTTAAAGAACAGGAAGACAAGTACCTACACAGTTTATTTACCATATTCCAAATAATCTGACTTAGGGGAAAAACTAGTCTTTATAGTTCATTTGCTGGTCACCACCAACTGGATATGGGACACATGAGAGATATGATGGAAACATTAGAAATAATCAACAAACAATATAATTTTATTCAAATGATATTCATAGAGAATATAACAACTAAGTAGGTATAAAAAGATACTTTTTCTGTTGAGAGTTAGTGATTACAATCTGAGTGCTCTAAAAACTAAGTGAGAAAATTAATTCAAAATGGTCATAATGGCAAGAGCAGCCATTGAGGGCTGCGTCATTATGGAAGCCTCTGCTGGATTTGGGAGGGCAATCGTATGTGATAGCCAGAGAAACGTTAGAAGTTATTTAATCCGGTAAATGCTGATTATAATGACGTAGAACAATTATCGAATTCGGCCATAGGAATGGAGAATTGTGCTATGGTTATGGAGCAAATGAATTACACTGCTGACTTGAATTGTTTAGTAACCTTGGAGGGAATAGTGAGGCTTTTACCTTGATCCATGCAAGTTCAGTGGTCACAACCGGTGGTAATCTTAATGAGTCTTTGTATTTTTTTGTGATAATATTTTTTTTCAACACACTGGAATTACTCATACACATTTTATCAACTCTTAAATACTAAACCTACTATTCTCTAATCGACGACTAATTTTTAAACATGTTAAAATTACAAAGTAACTTAGAAATGGTTGAGAAGAAAGGGATTAGCTAAACTGAACATATGGGATTTTGTAAAAACACTGTTGTTGATATATTTTGTAATTTATAAAAAAGAAACCGTAACGAAACAGTATTATCCACTATCTAACATTTCCTACTCGAATTAGTATACAATGATAGATATCAAGGTAATCACATGATTTCAGGGAATAGTTTCAATAATTTAAATAAATCTCCTTGAATTTTAAGTGCTAGAAATTGTGATGATTACTGTTAAGAAGCAACTAAACAATAAACAGTTTTATGGTTTAATTAAGATGAATAAACTCAGTAAAGTGTGTCGAAAAAGTTATATGGTTAATAATACTGTTTCACTATATTTTTAGTATGTGAACCAGAGTTAGATTTCACTTAGTACTATATTAGATGAACAAATAACTACTTTCACATATACCTTAATTCAGCAAGAAAAATGTACAATTTAGATTCAGCATGCACATAATTATGCTAAAGGATACAGTTTCCGTATACATATCCAGATTACTAAAACAAAAACAAAAGAGAGATTTATACATTATTGAATTTAAGCAAAAACTGACTTCATATATTTTCTAGGAGATATGTTACATGTAAATTATTCAAAGCATATACTACTAAAAGTCTCTATAGCATCTGCTACTGTGATTTAATTGAGTCATTTTTAATTTTCATACAGATTCTATTTTATAGATTATAGTTTTTAAATCTCAAGAATACAAACATCATACATCAATGACCAATTTTTATGTAGAAATTTTGTAAGTGTATTTTGCAACTTATTACTTAAATAAGCACTACATAGTTTCACAAAAAGCAATTATCAAAACAAAATAAATCTTACATTAATTTTAAGTCGTAATGAATAACCTATATTTGTAAACTAAGTGGCTTGGTAATTGGAATACTCTGATTTGATTTACTAAGTTGTAAGTTTGAACGTTGTTTGGCTGACGCTGATTTAGGTTATCAAGCAACATGAAGAGCTGTTTTACAAAACGTATAGTTCCGAAACCAAGCATAAAGGCTAGAAATTTGATTAGGTCACAATATAACTTAGATCAGTAGAACAACGTAAGCTAATGGCTACCTATAAAGACGATGAAACAATTGGCTTAGTGTGTTCACAGACTGTGAAGATCAATTAAGAAGAATTGGCAAATATTTGACTAACAGACAAAATTTTAATCACAGCAATTAATGGGTTTACTGTACTCTTAATTCATCTGTAAAGATCAAATAAAAAAGCACTAAAATAGGATCAAGCAAAAACTTACATATTCCCATACTTCAGCAAGTCTAAACAAGTAAATGGCCTCACAGTTACCATACTGAAATTGACTCGCTCTTCGATTTGATTACAGAGGTATATGTCTGTCAATATATAAATAAGCCATACAAGGCGGAAGTTAGTTACAGCAAATCAATCGTGGATATGGTTACTATGTATAAACCTATAAGAAATCAGAATATATCTGCTCAATAAAAATGTGGAGGGAACCTTTTGCGTCAGGAATGTTATGGTTTTTAAGGGATAGCGGGACCATAAATTTAAATAAATGAACTTGAAAAAGCAAAAAATAAATGTTTTTGCAGCAATCGGACATGTTTGTTTTTGTAACTTTCTAATCTGCTTTATGTTTTATCTAGTTGGCTGTTTAAATTTTCTTGCGAATTCACTGATCTTACATTACTGTTTCAACTTAACATAACTAATTATTAACAAAATTCGCAATACTCTTAAAGTACACTCTCCATATATCCAATACTTACCAACACTTTTATCACAACTACCGCACTGAATCAAACCCATAGTATTTATTTCGGCACACCTGGCTATTACTCTGCGGACGACATAGTGTGTTACTAACACCCAATCAGTCGGAACTCCAGAGACTAAAAAGTCATCATCATTAATTCGATCTGGAAAATCGGATATCTGATAAGTAACCGTTGTCCACTTAGCATAGGTAAGTTGTTCATCTACCGATGATCAAGTATGCGATGAAGTAAATCTTGCCTTCAGTTTCAGTATATCATACTTAGGCGAACCCTGTTTGTGCGAAGGCGTCAATAAGAAGCCAAATACAGATTCGGTTGGATGAGTTTATTTTAAGCGATCAGCCATGCAGACAGACATGAGGATACACAGCTTGAAAGCGAAGCGAAACGGAGAAGGCCGGCGAGCCAACTTCTTGCGATAAAGCATTACTCAGTATTTAAAGTCGGAAAATAAACTAGACATATAATCAGAGAAGTAAGCGGTGCACACATATGCTCGAATAGAAACAGCCAAGATAAAAGCAAATAGCTGACAAGGTCAAAAGACAAGTGAACAGTGACTCGGGAGGAACGGTACGGAGCTATTTAACACTTGTAATAAGTGGTTACAGACGTCAAAAAATGTGAAATACAGTTGGTTATAGTGGCCCAAATACAACTATCCCTTTCGTTTCTCTAAATCTTTGACCGATACATACTATGTCCACGTCCTGGGTTGTTAATAACTGACTGAGTAGTGTCAGAAAATTAATATGGAAGATTATTCCACGTCATTCAGAAGATGTAGTTTGCACTTAAAGAATCCCATTGGTGTTGCTTGGACCAATTAAACCAGAGCGAATTATAAGGCTCGATTTACTTTTCGGGTATCTAGAAGCCCCGATGCTTCTTCCCGTGGCCTCGCTGGTGTAGGCATAGTATTAAGACGTAGGGCAGATCCCAGTAAACAGTCGCTTATACGCTGTCCAACTAAACGGGACGGTACGAACTAGTAAAGATAGGGAAACTCGCCGTTGCCACTTTGTTGTATCTGCCTACGCTCCCACTGACTGCAATTCAAACGAGATAAAAAATAATATATAGAGAAACCTCTCGAAGCTTGTTTAACAAATTAGGTGCTCTGATAGAGTAATAATGGCTGGTGACTTTAATGCTCAAATAGGTAGATTAAGTGTAAAGGAAAGACATGGGTGGATCTTATGAAGTCGAGGCTCGAAAGTAAGATAATGGTGATTGCCTACTATAGCTATGCTCAGATAATCGCCTATTACTAGCAAACACTAACTTTAAGCATAAGGAGGAACACCTCCTGACTTGGCGACCCCCAAAGCCGACCCAACGATGAACCCAACTAAATCACATTGCCATCAGCCATCGGTGAAGGGGCTCCATTGAAGACCGTCGTTCATTCTGGGGCACTTGTCTAGATTCAGACCATGCTCTAGTGCGAGCGCGTATTTGTTTGAAGCTTACCGGACGTAGGAAAAACATCCCAAAGCAACCTCTTGGGGTTCTAACTAATGATAGCAAAGCCAAGAACATATTTCAGGGGTAACTAGAAAAACAGTTGGGTATCCATGTATTAAGTGATGCCTACCCTGGGGTAGCTAGGAATGACATACATAAAGCTGTGAAAACAGAAGTGATATCTTCTAGTAAGGTAAACCACAAGGTTAGGGAGAAGTAGTGGATTTTAGTAGTAGTGGGAGATTGGATCGATGAGCAGAACACTTTAAGGATCAGTTCAAATGGCCTTCAGCCACACTTCCGTTGCCCACGATTTTCAGCCATCCTGAATGGCGAATCGATGACCCCTTATGAATTTGAGAAACCTATAAGAAATCTAAAGTGAGGGAGAACAGCGGGTCTTAACAGATTGACCCCTGAGATTTTTAAGGATGGTGGACCAGTCTTAGCAGTTAGATTGACTGAGATCTTAGAATTTGTAAGTCCACTAAATTCATTGGATTATTACTTCACACTTTAGATGGTCATAGTGATGCATTTGAGGAATGGTACTTTAAAAACTTCCAAAGGCCGAATCTCGCCATAATTGATGAAAACTTAAGCTTTCAGACACTTCACACTAGTTGGCACTTCAACAAAAAAGGTACTTTATAGGTGCAGGTTTCGCAGTTATATACAAAGGTGCTTTCTCCTTTCTAGTCATTAGCATCAAGATTTTTATCGTCATGCGTCAAAAAAAAACTCTCAAAACATCAGTACACCACGACGAAGCTACTTTCACATGAAAGATTAATTACAGAAGCGTTGTAGGAAGAAGATATGTAATATAATTCAAAATTATAACTTTTAATTACTGTTTTACATGTAGCGCTAACGAACATTACTGTAATTCTCACTTTATTTTACCCAATGTTAAGAAATTGTGGCAGATTAACACGGCTGTAAAGGCTTTACATTGAATTCCAGAATTCATCGGATCTTTATTTCGGATCCGACAAGTAATTGCAGTTACAAAAGGGAGTTACTTTTTTGGAATTGTTTGCTTGGTAACTGTAATCTTCTGACGAACTATTCTCTCACTAGGCATTTGCTTTCCCACTTACACGTATTACTTTGAGACGAGTCAGGTGAATGTATTGAGTGTATCTGATCTCACATGGATCCGACAACTAGAACACATCCTTAGTGAATGATGAGTTATCTGCTAACTGTAACCTTTACTGCAGATCTTCGTCAATGAGTAGGACTTTTCACTTACAATGAGAACGTGAAAAGTACCTGTCTGTTTAAGATTCTTGTGAAATATGACCCTATTTTATGTTAATAAATATCTTCAGCAATGTGTCATCTTTTGAATCTAGTCTGTGTTGAAACGTTTGTTTTGTGATAAGGAAAAAAGTATGATGGTTCAGGCTGACAGTATATAACTGGACGTTGACTCCGTGCAAATGGATGCGAAAAGTAGACAATTATATATGCATCTACGAGAAAAGTGGACATTTTAGCGACAAAGACGGGGAATATTGCAATAATTCCCCGTACCAGGTAGAAAAGAAAATTCTTTGAGGCGTCTGTCGTTTACTTTAAACTTATTTCCCTCGCGACTGCTCTTATTTCCTACTTTTAGTATGCTTGGGTTATTACGTAAGTCTTATAAATCATCTGATAGACAGATAAAGGATATTATACATTGTTAATAAATCTTGTGATCAAACTGATTAACCTTAAAACCTGCATATTTATTTAAATACTACGTTGAAAATTAAGTAGTTTTAGGGCTACATGTAATCACAACATATTAATAAATATACCCGTTAGGGTTAACCTTGAAGAAGACACCTAATTTGAGCGTTGCAACTTTACTGCGTTTGAAATCTGCTCAATAGACCGTACTGTATATTAGGCCTCTAATTAACAGGAGCTTAAAAAACGTCACTGGATCTACATGGTGTTCGCTAGGATGATCGAGGTTAGCGGTGCAATTTTAAGTGCTTTTCAGGTTCGAATCGTTCATAGAAAATATTTATTGTATGTAATATTATTTTCCTAGCTGAAATCGTTTTCTCCTCTTCAGGTTATCTGGAACCACACTCATTAATCTATTTAGTAACATGTGCAGTAATACCGTCAACACCATGACAACTAGGAAAACTAGTACAGGTTTGGATTCCGGGGTTAGTAGTGAGTCGAAAGTCCCAGGTTTTAACATAATTGCAAAAAAAGTCAAAATGCCATTCGATTGTGAACCTTGGAGTAATGTGCACCATTTAGATCACTAGATGCGAAAATCTCAACTGCTTCTCCAACAAAGAAACTAGGACCATATTACCCCCCTCAGATTCCTACTCCATGTAAAACTGGTAAGCAACAAAGAAATAGGAAAAAATGTGTCACAAAACTCAAATGACGCAGCCTACTGTTCAAAAAGGACACAACAATAATGATCGTATCGCTTGGTCGTTGAAATCAAAACAAGTGACTCTGCATTTGAATGTTACTTCTGCAGTGGATGAATTCATTGTCGCTGTGAAACAGTGCTACATAGACAGAACTGTTAGTTCATACTAAGTTACTCCTGTACGTGGTTCGGCTATGTTTATCCACAGTGTAAAGTCATCATACCGGACAAATTAGCACCAACGAAACAAACGGGCCCATCAAAAATCAACCTATTGGTCACCACCAGTGTACTGAATACTCCCAAAAAATGAATGATCGAAATGGCAGCAAAGGTAAGTGTGACTCTAGCCAATGCACGGACGAAATCACCTTCAGGATAACCCGTTGTCTGTTAAAAGCCAGGCGAATTGGGTGGCTGCATGAATGTGAAATGCGACACCAAAGCTCCCGAAACGCTTCGAATCAGAGTCAGTGACGTTAGACAAAATTCAATAGTTTCCATTGATATTCCAGTGTCAGAAGGTAGCTTACTAGAAAATAGGGCTTTGATACAGAACAGTGGAGTAGATATTGCTCAATACTTGGAATGAGCGGCGCTTTCATCAAACCACGCCGTTTGTGTTTGAGTCAGAATGTAGGCACCTGAGGCGTTCAGTTTTCAAAGAACTAAAAAGCCCGGTTTTGTCAACGTACTTGGTAGTCCAATAATGGTTGTTGTTGCAAGGGTTCACTAGATGATAGGACAAACAATCAATTGCCTTAACATGTGTGAGTGTTAAATCGGACACGATTAGAAACATGGGTTCTCAGATGAATCTGAAGATCATAATCCTGACGAGAATCGGCTATCCACAGACGACGGAACAAGCCTACAACTCATGGTCTTCCAGTGCGACTGGGTACAGAAAATTGGAGATGGAATGGCGATATATATTAACAGCCACTTCGAAGCCGTAACACCACAGAGCACACAAATGAATGATGCGACAGAATGATACCGGAACAACTTCAACATGAGTGGTTCTAAATAACTGATTACAAACATTTGCTCACCCCCCTCATCTACTAAGCTCCAGTAAGATAAAATGGTGGACTATGGACGAAAAACACTAAAAATGGATCATTTACCAACAAATGACCAGCTCTTGGTCAAAGATGTTCACCTCTACACACCAGTAGTAAGTAGTGAAGATGGTTCAATCTTACACTTCTGTACTCTCAAACGATCTCAACTACTAATTACATAACATATTCATTTATTTTCATAGTTCTAAAATTTTACACTTCTCGTTAGCAACGGAAATTTCTCCTGATTATTTCACACATTTCAACTAACTGACCTTCGGCCTGGGAGTGTGGTAGCTATTGGTATCCAGAGGCCCAAATGCCCTGAGATAAACTAACTTACTCAAATCACGGGACTCACAAATTTACCTGCTAGAATTAGTGTAGTCGAGTGGCTAAACTATCAGCCGATGGACATTAACGAACACTTGGAACCGTACTGAAAGAACGACAAGTCAATTGGTTTATACTGGTTCTTGAAAAATATTTTTGATATTAGATGAGATGGACAGAAATCCGGACGTAAACAACTTGATCTCGGTTTCTGAGCTGTCCTCGAATACCCTCTCGAATAGTCAGTCGTGAATGGAAGGAAGGTATGAGATATATCATGCCGAAATCATTTTACAGAATACGGTAATGCAGCAATCAACCGTCTCGCTACCCACGGTAAGATAGTGGAAATAAGATGAGGCATCTCAGATTGCCCTGATAAGATTAGTCAGTGATACCACTAAGCACTCTGCCACCTCGCCGTTGAACGCGTCCTCATGATCCGCTTCATAAATGAAACAAGAATTTGATGCGTTATGTGATGAGGTCGCCAACCCCATGCAGTAACCTCTGAGGGTCTCGAGGCGGAATGAGTTTGCCCCTTATGTTACAGCTAAACGAAAATTTATTTCTCTGTTGTTAAGTTTTCAGATATGGATCTATTAATTTCTGGGATTTCGTTGCTAATTCTGGCAAAATATGTTGGTTTGTTGGACTATTGATGAATAGAAATTTAGGTTTCTAACGAGCAAACGAGAAAGGTGTTTTGTCTTTGATCCCATAGTTCACAGTTATTATAGTTAGTAAGTAATTACATGTAGCATTACATGTTAGCATTATTACTGAAGTAAGTTTATCCTTCAGATAAACAATTTCCTTCCTTTTTGTCACCAGTGGGATTCTGTATGTTAATCCGAGTAGATGTTGACAGATGTTAGGCGACCTGCACAGCAACATGGAGGCTTATCAACATTTATTAACTCTTGAGTGTACAAATGATTTACTATCAGGCAGTACCGTTGTAGTGCAGGATAACTCAGGTGAGGGCAAACGAACTGTATTTACCTCAAATTACAGAGTTAATTGGTAAAACAGGAAAACCATATCGTAAATCGTTAATTTGCAAAATATCAATCCATCATATCGAACTGGACTGTTCCTGTTGCAAAACATCAATCCACTGCTCATGCGTTTCATACAAATCACATTGTGTTCCCGCTCTTCCTTTCTTGATCTTCGTCCATCTTCTGCTGCCAGACATTACTCGCGTCATATACTACTTATGAGTAGCGCGCACCACACCGTGAGTACTGGGTTGCCAACCACACCCCATTAAATTTCTTCTTTTGAGAATGGATAAACCTAAGACAGTTATTTCCAGAGAACGGATCAAAAGACAAGAGCAATAAATATCAGTTAAAACTGCACACTAGTTACAGCTGAATTAGGGGGTCTTGGTACAAAACGGAAAGCTTACTTACGAAAGTCTCATCCATCATTCTACCAGTTCTGTTTACACAGGGCTGGTTCCTCATCTTACTTCAGACTAATCCCTAGTCACCCTGCAATGAAAAAAACGGATTAGTTTTCACAACATCGTATATGGTGATTTTAACACTGTTACATACTGTGGTAACAAAAATCGAGCGCCAAGACATTTATTGGTTTATACTAGCTCATAAAAAATAAATTGCACATTAAATGTCATCAGTAGAAAGTGGAACAGATAACTCTGCCTTAGTCGGTTGATCGTTTGCAAAAAGTTATAGCAGTTAAATTAAGTAAAAGAGTCAGTTTTTGATTGCATATTTACACCATGTCACTGACAGTATTATACAGCCACATTTTCAATAGTAGAGTACAAATAAGGAAGAAAGGTGCACAATAGGTTCTTTCGGCGATTTGCCGAGATCAGTAGTGAATTTGTTGGGAAAGATCATATGGAACGCGCTTGGTACGGGTTGTGGTCCAGACAGTTATGTACATAGGGTGCATGTTCCCCAGAGGCTCCATGGACTTCCCACCGTGAATGGGGTTCTGAAAAGGAGAAAAGAGAGAGACAAATAGGCAGCAGTGTGGCAAGTGTATATATATAACCAAAGCACTACTTAACCTGTCATGTTGAAGTAGTCAATACAGTAGTAAGTCAAGATAAAATTCATACTGACCACTTAAATTCAAGTAAATTATGGGAGTATAAGAATATAACCCACAGATAAAGGAGTACAGCAAAGAAGAAGGAAGAGTTGTGCAGTGTCAGGTGGACAGAAGAGAAGTCGAAGTAAGAAGCTGGATTAATGTACGTTGAAATCGAAAGAGTAGAGTTTGTAAAAATAAAACATTGGTGGTTAAAATTTTGCACTGTCTAACTGTTTTTTTATTATTATTGAATGCCAATCTCTAAGTCATACTGTAAGCGCCTGAGAGCATCTTTAGGAAGTTGAACAAACTCATGTAACCCACTTGCCATGCGTATTTTTAAGGGAAGCCTATTCCATATAAGCACATACTTAGAGAGGAAGAAGTTTTCACGAGTTTTGGATATATACTTCTCAAGTTTGACTGTAGATACTTTATCTCGAAGGTTATGTGTACATGGGCCATGGATAAGGACTAAACTGCAGGAGAAATATGTCAGCTTGTGCAGGAGTTTAAAGTAAAGGATCAGATCGGACTTAAGCCTTCTTTTCCATAATGGATCGAGCCCGAGTTCAATACATCCGGGTTGGATGGTCAGTGGGTGAGCTATGATTTAGGACTTTCCGAGGAAATTTCCTTCGGATTCGTTCAAGCTTCAACATATCAGACAGGTGTACGTTAGAAAATAAGAAAAAGCAGTATTCAGCAATAGGTCTTACGCATGTTTTATAGAGAATTGTTCTGGATTCTCTATGGAGGAAGTTACGAAGGATGAAACCAAGCATTCTTCTCATTCTGGAAACTTTAATGGAGATATTTTCAGAGAAGTTGAGGCTGTGCGAATAATGCACTCCCACATCAGTTACGGATGTGAGTTTGGGCAATACATTCCTGTTGAAAGTGAGATCTAATTTCAGAGACGTGTCTCCAAAACACATCCAGCCACATTTCTCAGTATTAAGTTCAAGGTTCCATTGCTTACAATA